AGAGTATGGTGTGAAAAAAAATGTATTTAGGTACATCGGGGTTTGAATTAGCACGTAGCGAGACGCTCCCACGTCGGGACAGATAGGCCTAACCTCTCCGCCACGTCATGGGCCCGTTCAACTGCCCATATATATAGCTGCGTCCGCGCCCTTAAAGGCCAACATCGGCGGTTTTTTTGAACATGTCAAAGTAATGATGGCTTTATGTACCCCAGAAGCCCCTGTCATGGGCCTGATAGTAAGAAAATGCAGGGCATACGTATCAACCAATTATAATATAAGACGGAAACATTGCACGATTAATAAATTTTGAAAAGATCCGTGTCATGCCCACCGTATTGATTCCCGCTCTGGCCAGCTGTTTGTCAACTGTGAATTAACGTAGCCCACTTATGTTTAACGTCGGCTGTCCGCTTTTATAACAATGTAATATATTTCAGTACATCTGTGCTATACTATGTCTCGGCCTGCTGCCTTAGCTTCAATTCATTTCTGTATAGTCAGAATTATTGTGCTACAGTTAAAACATACAATTATGTCCATTAAACCTTCCTGAGCCTCATTGCCTGTTGCTTTGATTAAGTTGTGTGCAACAAAAAGAAACGAGCCATACATCAATCGCCCCTCTTGCGTACCTTAGCTATTAGCAAAAACGAAAAAAAAAAAGGCCTCCATCTTGCCCCACGAACGGGAATTCCCAGCGATGCTGTTTCAAACACCACATATGCTGATTAAGGGGAGGGGGTATGTTTTATTATTACTTTAGAGCCGTGCTTTAGAGTGATGGTAATGATAATCGCTTTATGGTCCCATAGGTAGACCATGATTGGTTTCGCGATCCATTTTCAGCTTGAGAACTTTGTTGCCTTTTTCGAACATTGTATTCATGCTGTTCTTCTAGCTTCTTTCATTTCTGTGGTCTTCCAGGCAGTCTTGGAAGAACTGAGTGGGCTGCCAGACGGGTCTTCTATTTATGAATATTGGAAAGGCACGCGCGGGGAGAAGAGGGCGTTTGATGTTCGTTTGAAACCCTCGTGGGAAAGTGCAAAGGAGCTGCGATTTAGTCTTTACCTCGAACGCTTGGCAGGGTGTTCCTATTTTTCACAGGCGCCTTATTATCACCCAGCACGCGGCTTTGATGCTTGTTTACCGAGCTCTGTGTTGTATGCCTGATTGTAAAAAAAAAAAAAAAAAAACACGTCGTTCGCCTTCAACTAAACTACGCAGAGGTCGAAATTTAGTTGCGGTGTTGCAGTTGTGCGCGAGTCAGCTAATGCGTTTGCCAGCTCGCCTGTCCCGTCTCTCAGAATACTCTTCGTCAGCGTCCGAGGTGAAAAAGCAAGCAGCGCAAAAACCGTTCCGAATGTGAAAATTCTTCCGGCTCCTGGACTTAGACTAAGGTGCACGTTAAAGAACCGCGGGTGGCCGAAAATTTCCGATCACTTCACAACAGCGTCCCTCGTAATTATATCATGGTTTTCATGACGTAAAACCCCAACAATAACTTTTTGTTACTCGCATAAACATGACAACATAATCATACAGTCTGCTATCTGATTTTTCGAACGTCTCATACAGACCTTCAAAGCACTACTTTGATCCGCCGGAAGAATCATTTTTCGATGTTGACGCGCGCACGATGTTGCTTCGTGTGCCGGCGCCGGGCCACCATGAGATGTTTTCGCGATCCACAACGTCCATTTTGTAGTTTTCTAACGCGAAGCCCGGTTCGTGATCTATCACAATCTGGGGCTCATGTTGGACGTTCCAAGGCCGCACACTTTTGCTCGACGCATGACCCCCGCGAGTCAAATTGCCGGGCGCGCTTCTCGTAACGAAAACAAAAACCGAGAAACGAAAGAGAAAGCCGCCATCTTTGCTGTTCCCGGGATAGCGCTTTCCTCCCTGCAGTAAACACCGTCAGGACCACCGTGGTCAGGACGGAGAAACAGCAAATTTCTGCAAAATAAATTAACGTTTAAAAAGTAAGTGCTCATGAATCAGTATAAACAATTTGCTTTGACAACTGTACGAGCATTAGATTTCAAAACTTTTTATTTCACAGGCAACAAACTTAAAGCTAAAAAACGTTCTGTTATTGTTTCATAATTTAGTGTTCACTAGTGGTCGCGCCATCTGTAGCGTTAGAATACAACTGCATTTGACATTATTTATTTTAAAATAATAACAAATCTAGTTTTGTTGTTGCACAATAAAGGCCGTGAGCGTCAGTAAATGTGCGCATACGTTTTTGATGCAGAGTTAACAGTTGGCACGGCTACACTTTTTTCATCGCCGCACGCCAGATAGAACAGCCGCATACCTTCGTTCTTGTTGTTTACTTTTCGTTGCCATGTTGACCGTATGTAAATACGCTACACGAATCGGATCCGAAAACTTCATGCAACTCGCGCGCGGCGACACTTTGGAGACAGGTAAGTCACGTGTAGCTGTCCGCCACGCTCGTCGGGCGTGCATGCGTGTCTGCCTTTTTTTTTCAATCGCCATCGCTCGATCGTGCTCGAAATTAACGTTCGGTTCGTGGCACGTCGTCGGTTGGGACTGTTAGCGCGCTCGGCCAGGCTGTTTCTCGAGCCGCGCTCTCGTAGTACTTTACCTGTCGCGTCGTTATCGTTGCGAGCACGTGTTGTAACGCGTTCATTTTAATCGCGATCTGTGGGCAAAAGTTGCGTGGCGAACTTGAGTCCTGTAGGCCGGTGTCGAAAGTTGGGAGGGCATAACCCCGCCGTGACAAGAGTTCGCCGAAGCGGACGGACGGGAGTGCGTGATCGCTTTTTGCTTTTATTTGTTGATCGTTACTATTTGAAACACGTACGGGGGCACGACGTGCCGCCGCTTGCCTTCGCACGCTCCCAGTCTCCCTGACCTATTTGGATTTGTCAGCTTTCGGAGGTTTTTTTTTTTTTTTCGAAGAAGAGTGTGTGTGTTACCGGGGCGACGGAGTTGTGAAGAGCGCGAATAAAGAAAAAATATAAAATGGAGCGGCGCACCACGACTTCCAGCGGGCCGCAATTACGCGACAAACGCAAAAGCCGGCGGCGGTGCCTGAAGTGCGTAGTACACGAGTACGTTGGTAAACGTCGCGAACCTGAACAGCTTGTGCTGGGTGACCTGTGCTGTTCGTTCGACCTCGCGTTGCGTTCCCTTTTTTTTTTTTTTTTTTTCCTTTCGCTAAGCGTTGAGACGGCTGCCTCTTGAGGTTTGTGCAAGATTTGTCGCGGCGCTTGCTTGTGACGTCAAGACAGGTGTGCGGGCGTTGTAGTGGTTTAGCGATGAAGTTTTTTCTGCCGTGCTAATGCTTAATCACGTACAACGTTTATCGTTATTGCACCGTTGCTGGTCCCCATAGTCACTACATGAGTGTGGTGCTTCATCTATTCGAGATCGTAGGTTTCACGTATACCGCCGAGTGCGCATGCGCAGTTGGTGGAATGTCGTGTAACGAAACCCTACGCTTCCAACCAAACGCATGCTGTCGAGTGTTCACCTTGAAGCGGTAATGTTAGTGATGAAGGCGTGCTGTAATAATACGGACACATTCAGTGCTTTAAAGCTCCGGCTTAATGTCGTTACCCATAATGCACCGCTGTGTTACTCTATTCACTTAGATAGTTTCGTAATAGATGAACAGAAGTTGTGCATCAGTGCATGCGAATGAATGGACCACGGTTATCTGCCCATGTCGTATATCTGCATGCTCACTGTGCTGACACCTTGTTCTAAAGCATTTTTCGAAGCTTGTCTGGTCTTGTTGAAAATAGCCAGCCCAGCCGCCCGTCCAAATCGGATAGTTGATCCAATGTGGCATTTGTCACTTCTGAGGGCACTCAACAGGTTCAACCGAGCATTCTAGTTCAGGCATATAAACTAGTCCGATTTCAGATGTACTCAATGGAAAGAAAAAGGGCATAAAGATGCATTTGTGGACACGTGTCCTGAGCCATACAACTTGAGGCATACATCTAATCATTGGCTTCTACTGTCTGTTGGTCGTGCACGCACTAGACAGCGGCACTACACCACTTTGCGGCCGTTAAATTCATTTTTGACTGTATGCTACAAGAACTTATACCAATGAATAATAACTGGGCACGTTACCAGGAAATTAATGTTAAACAATCACTTAGTTTGGATAAATAATACTCTAGTAACTCCAGTGTTGTTGTTATCACCACCATAGGTATACTAATAGGTGAAAAAACCAATTTCAACATTTCGCTTTGCCGTAGAAAATTATCTGAAGAAATTTCTCATAGTGACATCATGGATCTCGGTGTTCTTTGTATTTTGGCCACATTAGCTCAAAGAAATGTCCTGAAGCTTTGTATGTTAGGCCTCTTGCTCAAAGAAGACAATTTCCTTCACTCTCCCAACGCTGACCTAAGTAAACGCTGTCAAAATTTATGACCTCACGGCAGCTAGCCCAGGAACTTCGAGGTGGTGTTGCCACTCACATCATCTTTTTTGTGACAAGTGCATCCTCGCTGCAAGCATTGTGCATCTGATATTGTGAAAATGTAAATTACTAATATGGGAAAAGTTGTTTTTCTATTTGGGGTTCCTTTGAAGAGTATGAGTCACTGAAGCTGTTCTAGAACATTTCACCTACAGACAAGTATGAAAAATATCCTAGCATAGGGCCGTTTCGACAAGCGAACTTGCCTTCAAGACTGCAACTATATTGCTGCAACAGTTGCAGTCTTGCAGTATACAAGCGGGCTTGTCAAAACGTTGGCTCCAGTGACACCTCGTGTTAATGTATTTTTCTTTTTTTTATTCCCACCTAGACACAGCGTGGTAGTCCATGTCAATGATTGCTCTCCCTCTTTGCGTTACACCCTTGCAGCAAGCTGCGGCTGGCAACTAACCACCCTGTCGTGAGCCCCAGACCATGAATGATCCGGAACACAGCCAAGGGACAGGACGGTTGGGACAAGCCACCGGCAGCAGCCAAGTCCGGCCCCGAGGGCCCGCAAGGCATGGCTGCTGTAGCGACACCTAGAGGACGGCCCAGCAACGAGGAGCTGCTGCGCAAGCCGCCCCAGGAGATTCTCCGCTGGCTGCAGAAAGTCGAAGCGGAGAACCTGAAGCTTATGTACGATCATGGTGCAATGATGCAAGATGTCAACCGCCGCATGCAGGTGAGCATAGACTTGCACGACAAAACGGAGATTAAAGCTGGTTGTCGATTTGTTATTACTTGGATTGTTTCTGTTTTTTTCTTTTTAACCGTTTCTTCTTCTGTGTCTGCTTTTGCGCAAGGTGCACCTGATGGAGATCCGGCAGCTGCGTGAGGTGAACGAGCGGCTTCAACGCGACAGCCAGGAACTGCGCGACCTCTGCTGCTTTCTGGATGACGACCGGCAGAAAGGGCGAAAGCTGGCGCGCGAGTGGCAGCGCTTTGGCCGCTACACGGCGTCCGTCATGCGCCAGGAAGTGTCTGCCTACCAGGGAAAGCTGAGGGGCCTCGATGCACGGCAGCAGGACCTAATCCGCGACAACATCCAGCTCAAGGTTGGCCCTTATAGTCCGAGCTGTCATAGTGGGCGTTAATGTTGGAATGCCACCCCTTAAATATGATCACTGTATGGTTTAGAATAACTGAAGCTTGGGCGAGTTGGTGAGAATTCATTAAATGACCACTAAGTCATTCATAAGTCAAAGTTAAGTTGTGGTGTTGCAGCTGTGCATAAGTGTACATCAAACACGTAGATGTGAGAATTTTTGGAAACAGTACCTTAATAGCGGAGTTTCGTGATCCAAAAAGTGGTTCTTGCTCACTTTACTTTTTTCTTCACTGTGCTCCATTCATTGGCTTATCTCTTTTTCTGGCTTATCTCTTCCTCACCGTGCGAGGAGGAAGAGCGGCAAGCATCCAGAGTTGTGAGTAGACAAACAGATTCTTTTAGTTGCCGGCGCGACCAGACGCGAGTGATGGCATCACCGTCGACGCTGGGGATACCAAAAGACTTGAGAGGAGAAGGTTTTTTTTCAGTGACGTGTTGGTGGCTCTTGGCATTGTTGATCACAACAGCATTCCGAACTCAACGTACACATTTACTTGAAGTGTTAAACAATTATCGAAGGCGATTCATGGGCCCTTTAAAGGTATTAACATTGTATAGATAATAAGGAAAAGTGACAGGATAAATAGAGGCATTGCTGCCTCTACTTATCTTGTCCCTCTTCTTTATCGTCTACACGCTGTTAGTATCATTTTAATGGACCATACGGTCGAGTGAATTTGCACGAAATATTTCGCGTCTGTGGTTGAAGACAGGGTGTGTTGGTAAAACTGGATGATGGATTCCACAACATTGATGGGACACAATGATGTGCTTAGGTGTGTGTGTGTTTACTTTGTGTGCTATTTATGTTGAACATTCTACCATCTAGACAAATCTGCACTACCGTTATTATGGCACGATTGGAGACAATGTATGCATGTATACATTAGCCTTGTAACCAGACTGCATTATATGAAAATAAATACGTGTTTTTTAATTAACATTTCATACACGAATCACCTTCATCTTCCCTTTCCTTCCAATTTGTGCCTTGTGTTGGCTCTTGATTTTGTTTGCTCCTGTGGGCCCAAGTTTGGTCCAGGAGGGTTTGACGGCTCTATGTTGAATTTTTTGAGCGACTTGCCTTGTGAGTGCTTTGTGTTCACTTACAACCTGAAAAGAAGTCATCTCCACTACAACCATTGCTGTTCCTCGCACAGAGAATTTGCATAAATGTTCCACCTAATAGTAGTACTTATTCATTTTCAAGCCCTTGAGCACTGCTCGAATGTTTCAGACAGCTGGCTTCCCCATGCAGACACACATTCTATCGCTGCTTTTAGCTTGGAAACATGAACGTCCTGGTAAATGTTGACAGATTTTGACATCGCTGCTCAGCCAGACTAGTGTGTTTGGCAGTAATAATAAACCTTTAACTCCTCATTTGCATAGTATGTATTTACGCTAGCCGAGAAAAAGTACTTGCAGTTCAAGTCAAAACCACCTAGGACAACTATCTTTAACAGGCAAAACGCTGGCATGTTGTGGTTGTATGGGCGGTGCCGACATCTTCTGTTTGGCTGCAAGCTGCTGTAATAGATAATATTTTTTTGTTCCTATTAGGAACTCTGCCTCTACCTGGATCAGGAGCGGTCGCAGACGCTCTGCACGAACTGCGGCGGTGTTCTGCCCGAGGGCAGACGCGACGACGGCGATGGCAGCTCGTCTTCGACCATTACCACCCAGGACGAGGTTCCCTCCCCCTTGCCCTGTTCGCCTCCTCCGCCGCGGCCCTCGCCTTCGTTGCCTCCTGTGCCATCCGGCAGCATACCCAACGGCACGGCTAACGGCCATGTCCGACCGCCCTCCATCGTCCCAAACGGGAGCCGGCTTCCCAGCCGGAGTCAGCCACCCATGCGAACGCCTGCCATCAAAGAGGCAATCCACCGGCACAGAAGCGTCATAAATGGTGAGTTTATCGACATCTCGTTGCGACACAAGGGCGATGAAATCTCGCGACTGACTTGCCATATAATGCTACACACTAATACATACAGTTACACCCCTTTATGAGAGACATGCAGCAGGGAACAGTTCCTGTCCATTATAAGAGAGTCTCTCAAGCTGGGCACCACTTTCTCATTTTCTCAACACCTATATTGATGTAGGTGCACTGGTGTCTCTTATAGCCAACTGTCTGCTACACCAGAGCCTCTTATATAGGTGTCCGACGTTAATCTAAAGAGATGAAAACTTCGTATAAGAAGGTAAGTGTTCCAATATGGTCACACAAAGAGAGATCGAGGCAACATAAATACCAAGTCATCTATTGTGTCTATGTTTGCATGTCCGCCTTTTTTTCATGATGAATCTTGACCGACTAACTTAACTTTTTTTCTGTCATTCAAGGGTGGAAATATGTTTTGATGGAAAAAAAAATGATCTTAAAATTTCCTTTTCTCATTCACTTACACCCATTCATTCACTGCTGCGGAACGATAGTGTCTTGAATGCTAAAACGTGCCTGTAGAAAAACTTGGCCTGTGGTCTGGTGTATCAATAACTTTAGTACCTCTTTCTGGGCAGAACAAGTTTTGCGGTATATCCGGAATTTGGAGAAGCGCATAGAGATTCTGGAAGCTGAAAAGGGCATCGTCAAAAATTCTGTAAGTGGCTTTCTTTCTTCTCTTTATTTTTTTTCTTTTTGTAATTGCACAATTTGCAACCTTTGCGATACAGAAGCATCACTAGGTGGCAGCAGAACACATGCTTCATTGCACACTACTACTTGGTTACCAGTGACAGCTGGGAGGTTCAGCTTTAACAAGTAGCATGTCAAATTCAATGATGAAATGTTTTAAACTAGTTATAATTGCATACAGGAAAAGGAAGCCCTTTCGAGACACTTGGGCTCACTTCATGCAAGATGTACTCTTTTTTTTTTTTTTTTTTTGCTGTGTTGATGAAAATCAGCTAAATGTTCTTTGTCTCTTGCACCTGAAAATTTGTTCATCTTTATAAGAGTTTACTGTAGCTTAAGACCCTGTGGTGGAGATAGACTAGTATCAAAAGATCGAAGCTTGTTAGTTTTACGTGAAAAATCAAGTGTTTCTTTTTATTTTCTTCCTCTGCCAAATGGAATGCAGCCCCACGAGGAACTTCCACACAAGCCACCTCAGCAGCAGCCGTCTCCAGGAGGGCCCGAGAAAAAATTTCAAAGTGGAATTCCACGCGCCCCTCACTACCGGAAACCCGACGACACCGGTCACATTGTGCCGCCGCCAACATTGCAAGGCACCGGCAAAAATACCCCGGACAGCACGGTCAGTACATAGCCCTCTTTGAGGGGCTAGAGGAACTCGATTCTGATATAATCTTTACCGTCAAGAAACGTAAAGGGACCTGTTGAATATGAAGATGCTCAGGAAATCAAGATTGGAAACGTATACCGTATTTACTGGCATAATTTGTGTGCTCCTAATATTTTGCCAAATTTACTAAAAAAATATATGTACTTGCATACACTCAAGCCTTGATATAACAAACCCGGATATAACGAAATATGGGTTATAACAAAGTAAATAAAAAGTTTTGCAATAGATTTTGTGTGAAGAATAAACATTTATAAAGAATTTTCAGATATAACAAACTTATTTTTGTCTAAGATGCAAGTTTTTTATACTGAGGTTTGAGTGCATTCAGCGCTCTCCAAACCCACTCGAGCCAGCTCACCGGAGCACGCATGAAGAGACTTAGGATCTTTGGATGCTTTGGACAGGTGCTCTGGGTGCACACCTTGTTGCGTAGGCGAGTGCAGTCAAACGGGCTGTGAATGCGAAGTCCCTTCTTCCAAGGACTTCCCCTGAGCTTGTGTCCCTAGATTACTACATTCGAACACCCAACCCTGTCGACAGGTTACAGGAACTGCTTGAGCGTTTCCCTCTCTCTATCTTCCCATCTCTACCATTGTGCAACGCATGTTCACGTCACGGCATGGACAAATTTCGGCATTGAAGGCGTGCGAAGGGAAGACCCAACGCGTCCGCGCTGCAACACACGTGTGATTGATTTCTGAAGTTAGGGCTTCGCCATCCGTCTGTCGCATTTTTACCGTTTTCCTGTGGTTGGCTGTAATAACTACATATACGGCGCGACAAAGTTCAAGCTCGCTGTTATAAAATTTGCTGAAGAAAATGGCAACCGTGCCGCCGCTAAGCACTTTGGCGTAAAACATGTGACATGACGATCAGCACGATCGGTATGGCAGAAAGCAGAAGAGTGCGTGCATGTTTCGTGCTGTTAAAAAAGACCTTTTCAGTTATGTGCGAACGCTTGGGTCCTCCGATATCGCCATGGCATTAGACCTAGTTGCTCAAAGAATCACTGAGAAGAGCGCCAAGAAAATGGGGCATTTGAACGCGCTCGACGGAACCGAGGACTATGCGCTTTGGGAGGGCTGTGACAGCGGCTGTGACGATGATTCCCAGTCGGACCTCTCAATCATGATTCTAATTAGGCTGCACGTGAGGGGATCTGACTGGTTAAAGTATGTGCTAATTCTGTTAAATAAACAAGTACACTTCGTGTGTGCTCCAATTTATAATTTTTTTTCTGTGTATACTGTGCGCATAGACTATAGCACATTATTTCATATGTGTTTGCAAAATCCTTGCGTAATTTGCGCACCCCCTTCTCGGAGCCCCAAAACTGAAGAAAAATGCGCAAATTATGTGAGTAAATATGATAGATATTCCAGGTAGGAAATTGCCAAAGAAGAGATTTATAACAGCTCTCGGGCTAGACCTATTTTGCTTGAAGCCAGGATAGGAGTAGGCACATTTCATCAACGTGCAAGCAGAGGAAAGGCATGTGCTTCAATTGTCAAAAAATTTCTAATGAAATAAACGAAGACTGTAAAAAGCCTAAGAGATATAGAACCGCGTATTCATAGCCACATACCAGACGTGGTTAAGCCTAAGTCACGTAAACTTCTAATTTATTACTCTGCTCAAAACTAAAATGACTCACATTGTGGGGGCAAAACAAAAATGAACACTTTGTTCGTGCAAATACATGTACTGCAGAAAGTCCCGCCGGCCTCCATAGCATTGACTGCTATGTATGGAATACAGTGTAAAAGTAATGTTGGCTCTGATCTGTGCATTATAGTCAGCATTGTGGTGATATGACCCAAAATGAAGACTGCAAAAGTGAACGTATTTGCATAACGGAGCCCTGAATTTTCACGTTCTAGTCCGTAATTACTTTGCATGGTCATGTAGATCGGAGTAGCCAGAGAGCAGTAAATTGCCGTCACTACGCAGGCCTGTCCGTGGCTAATTGAAATTTGTTTTGCGTGCAAATGATGTCAATCTTGTTGCTTCTAGGAACCGTATGTGGGCGTGGCGAGGCCAGAGGCAGTCGTACATGCCATGAAGGTGAGCGATTGCCATCTGTTGCCACCTTTTTTCTTCGCTTTTTAGGGGTGAAGCTCCTTTGGGTGTGGTTCGTTCCCGCACAGCATGTTGTAGTAGCCACTTCTAGTTAATTTTAAGAATTGCTCACAAACGCTTAGAAGCTCTATCACTACTCTCTCCTTCACCAACTTTTTTTTTTGTTGTTGTTACCCCTCAAAACTATTTCAGAGCTTAAAAGTGCCTCTAGCGGAAAGAGAGAGGTTAAGCTAGTGCATATCTTCTCGGAGTTCTCTTTCGCCCCCCAAGGCTGTGTACATTCAAACCATGATATAACGAATTATCAGCTATACTAAAGTGAAGATAGTTTTGTTGTAGACACAGTATAAAGAATATATATTCATAATGAGCTTTTAGATATGAAAAGTATGTTCATAGGCGATCTGATTTTGTTATAGGGAGGTTAGAGTGTACCACCAGGATCAGCTTTAGTAATGTAGGTAAACTCAAGGCGCATTTCTCCTTTTTTGCAAACGCAGGTCCCTCGAGGTTCACGAGCAGCTGGACAAGGCTACGGACAGTGAACTGGAGTTCGAAGAGCTTGCTGAAGGAGAGAAGGCACTTGTGCGCGAAATGTGCAACGTAGGTGTCTCAGCTGTCAATAGCCAGTTGGTTCTGAACTATGTGTTCTAGTCAAAATTATGCTGATATGGCCCGAACAGATTGACAGCATCCACGAAAATGTGTGAATTACTTAGCCCTAAATTGTCCTGTTTCCAGTCCGTAAGTGCTGTGCCACAGGCTAAAACATGTGTTTCTCCTCGTAAAGTCGCAAAATCTAAAATCGTGTGGCAAACGAACAGAAAAAGAGTAACGCCATCCTGCACTGCATCAATAGAGTCTCAGTCGGTTTTAAAAGTGTTAAAATCTGCAGTTGGAGATCTACAGTAGAATTTTGCGACAACACTCGCGTCTCGAATGTTTTAACCACCACTTTCTTGAGCAAGACAAGTTATGTTTAACTGTTTGAAAAGCCGGGAAGCTTAAAAGAGTAGCTCACGGAATACTTCAGCTGAGTGCTAAATATGCAGTGTTCAATCTTCCTTGTTTGGTTTCTTCGTTAGGTGGTCTGGCGGAAACTCGAAGATGGGCCAGCATGATCCGACTGTGCCAATAGCTTCAATGGTGCTATCGTTGCTGTTGCAAAGACAAGGGAACTTCGCATCCTGTACCGGCGAGTTTCGAATCAACACCTTCCAAGCTGCAAGTTATAGCAGAAAATTAGGTCAGCACCATTGTATACACCCAGCAGCTTCCCGTTAATACGATGTGCTGTCTATTTTTTACTATTATCAATTTAACAAATTCCTTGTGAAAATTTTATGTATGCACACTTGGCAGGTGTGTGCCTGCGCTTTTGAATGGAAACAGAGATATCTCAATGCCAATATCTGGAGGGGGGGGGGGGGTGGCTTTTATACGTACAATGCCCTCATGTACATTATGTTTTAATGGTGCTTTCAATTAAGGTCAGTGACGGTGTGCAAGACACCTGCCATTAGCAGCCGTCAAATTTACTACCTCTGTCCTCAAATTGTGCTAGAAATGACAGCACTAGAATAGACTGACACGCGATGTGGGTGAACATTTTTTTTTTGTATAAGAATCGTGACTTGAGCGAGTTGGTACAGATATTTTTGTATTTGAAAACGAACCTTCAATGTGTTTTAGTAGTGTGTTGGTTGTGTGCCTCTAAGATGTTTCCGGTGTGTTCAAAATGTACGTGGGATGTGTTTTGGAAACCGATTGAACATGTATGTGAGCATAATACCGTCTCTCAAACATGCTCAATGCATTTCCAATATGCACATAGAAATGTTTTCCAAGTACACAATACTGGAACGTGTATGAAACACAGTTCCATAGGCATAAATATAACACGTATCTCTATAAGGAGATGTTGGCGCACAATTATGGCGCCGGCTACTCCTTGGCCCTTGAGTGAAACTTGAACACATATCTTGAAGTAAAGCATACAAAGCAGTGCATGGAAAATAAAACACTCGGGCACAGATATGCAAAGACGCACTTATATGCACATATCACAACAAAATGATAAGAAAATGTTTGAAAGTATATATGAAAAAAAATCGTATCTCTAGATGAGCGTAGTGAAAAAACGCACTTCTATACAATCTGGCAGTTGAATTTCCGTGCAGGATACGACAATAATGTGCTGGCCGTGGAACGTCCCCCATCAGTACATTTCGCATCCTTCAAGTTATTCGGTTCGTGGTCTTGTTTGTCATCGACTGAATGGCTTTTTCCTCTCCTTCTCTTTCAAAACTTGCCAGTGTATATATTCCGTTTCATGTATAGCAGACAACAGTGTGAGAGCTTGAAAGACTACGTTCACTGTGTGCTATCACAACCAGTGAGCAATGTCACATATGAACCGACAGCATTGGTATGTGCCATGTAATTTTGGTGCAACGTTGCATTGTATGTATAGTATGTCATAAATGTGGCATTGTCATTACAGAAAGGGAATCGGACTTTAAGCCTCGATATAACAAACCCGGATAACGAAATATGGGTTATAACAAAGTAAATAAAAAGTTTTGAAATATTTCGTGTGAAGAATAAACATTTATAACGAATTTTTGGATATAACGAACTTATTTTTTTGTGTAAGATGCAAGCTTTTTATAATGAGGTTTGAGTGTATTTAGCGCTCTCCAACACACTCGAGCCAACTCACCGGAGCACGCACCTAGAGACTTAGGATCTTTGGATGCTTTGGACAGGTGCTCCGGGCGCACACCTTGTTGCGCAGGCGAGTGCAGTCAAACGAGCTGTGAATGCGAAGTCCCTTCTTCCAAGGACTTCCCCTGAGTTAGTGTCCCTAGATTACTACATTCGAACACCCAACCCTGTCGACAGGTTACAGGAACTACTACTTGAGCGTTTCCCTCTCTCTATCTTCCCATCTCTACCATCGTGCAATGCATGTTCACGTCACGGCATGGACAAATTTTGACATTGAAGGCGTGCGAAGGGAACACCCAACGCGTCCGCGCTGCAACACACGTGTGATTGATTTCTGAAGTTAGGGCTTCGCCATCCGTCTATCGCGTTTTTACCGTTTTCCTGCGGTTGGCTGTAATAACTACATATACGGCGCGACGAAATTAAAGCTCGCTGTTATAAATTTTGCTGAAGAAAATGGCAACCGTGCCGCCGCTAAGCACTTCGGCGTAAAACATGTGACATGACGATCAGCACGATCGGTATGGCAGAAAGCAAGAGTGCGTGCATGTTTCATGCTGTTAAAAAAGACCTTTTCAGTTATGTGCGAACGCTTAGCTCCTCCGATATCGCCATGGCGTGGGACCTAGTTTCTCAAAGAATCGCTGAGAAGAGCGTCAAGAAAATGGGGCATTTGAACGCGCTCGACGGAACCGAGGACTATGCGCTTTGGGAGGGCTGTGACGATGATTCCCAGTCGGACCTCTCAATCATGATTCTAATCAGGCTGCACGTGAGGGGATCTGACTGGTTAAAGTATGTGCTAATTCTGTTAAATAAACAAGTACACTTCGTGCGTGCTCCAATTCATAATTTTTTTTCTGTGTATACTGTGCGCATAGACTATTGCACATTATTTCATATGTGTTTGCAAAATCCTTGCGTAATTTGCGCACCCCCTTCTCGGAGCCCCAAAACTGAAGAAAAATGCACAAATTATGGGAGTAAATATGATAGATATTCCAGGTAGGAAATTGCCAAAGAAGAGATTTATAACAGCTCTCGGGGTAGACCTATTTTGCTTGAAGCCAGATAGGAGTAGGCACATTTCATCAACGTGCAAGCAGAGGAAAGGCATGTGCTTCAATTGTCAAAAAATTTCTAATGAAATAAACGAAGACTGTAAAAGCCTAAGAGACATAGAACCGCGTATTCATAGCCACATACCAGGCGTGGTTAGCCTAAGTCACGTAAATTTCTAATTTATTACTCCGCTCAAAACTGAAATGACTCGCATTGTGGGGGCAAAACAAAAATAAACACTTTGTTCGTGCAAATACATCTACTGCACAAAGTCCCGCCGGCCTCCATAGCATTGACTGCTATGTATGGAATACAGTGTAAAGGTAATGTTGGCTCTGATCTGTGCATTATAGTCAGCATTGTGGTGATATGACCCAAAATGAAGACTGCAAAAGTGAACGTATTTGCATAACGGAGCCCTGAATTTTCACGTTCTAGTCCGTAATTACTTTGCATGGTCATGTAGATCGGAGTAGCCAGAGAGCAGTAAATTGCCGTCACTATGCAGGCCTGTCCGTGGCTAATTGAAATTTTGTTTTGCGTGCAAATGATGTCAATCTTGTTGCTTCTAGGAACCGTATGTGGGCGTGGCGAGGCCAGAGGCAGTCGTACATGCCATGAAGGTGAGCGGTTGCCATTTGTTGACCACCTTTTTCTTCGCTTTTTTAGGGGTGAAGCTCCTTTGGTGTGGTTCGTTCCCGCACAGCATGTTGTAGTAGCCACTTCTAGTTAATTTTAAGAATTGCTCACAAACGCTTAGAAGCTCTATCACTACTCTCTCCTTCACCAACTTTTTTTTTTTGTTGTTACCCCTCAAAACTATTTCAGAGCTTTAAAAGTGCCTCTAGCGGAAAGAGAGAGGTTAAGCTAGTGCATATCTTCTCGGAGTTATCTTTCGCCCCCCAAGGCTCTGTACATTCAAACCATGACATAACGAATTATCAGCTATACTAAAGTGAAGAATAGTTTTGTTGTAGACATAGTATAAAGAATATATATTCATAATGAGCTTTTAGATATGACGAAGTATTTTCATGGGCGATCTGATTTTGTTATAGGGAGGTTAGAGTGTACCACCAGGATCAGCTTGAGTAATGTAGGTAAACTCAAGGCGCATTTCTCCTTTTTTTGCAAACGCAGGTCCTCGAGGTTCACGAGCAGCTGGACAAGGCTACGGACAGTGAACTGGAGTTCGAGGAGCTTGCCGAAGGAGAGAAGGCGCTTGTGCGCGAAATGTGCAACGTAGGTGTCTCAGCTGCTGATAGCACTTGGTTCCGAACTACGTTTTCTTGTCTAAATCATGCTGATATGGCCCGAACAGATTACAGCATCGACGAAAATGTGTGAATTACTTAGCCCTAAATTGTCCTGTTTTCAATCGATAAGTACTGTGCCACAGGCTAAACATCTGTTTCTCCTTGTCAAGTTGCAAAAACTAAAATCGGTATGGCAAAGGAACAGAAGAGTAACGTCGTTCTGCACTACATCAATAGAGTCCCAGTTGGTTTTAAAAGTGTTAAAATCTGCAGTTGGAGATTTACGGCAGAAATTTTGCGACAACACTCGCGTCTCGAATGTTTTAACCACCACTTTCTTGAGCAAGACAAGTTATGTTTAACTGTTTGAAAAGCCGGGAAGCTTAAAAGAGTAGCTCACGGAATACTTCAGCTGAGTGCTAAATATGCAGTGTTCAATCTTCCTTGTTTGGTTTCGTTAGGTGGTCTGGCGGAAACTCGAAGATGGGCCAGCATGATCCGACTGTGCCAATAGCTTCAATGGTGCTATCGTTGCTGTTGCAAAGACAAGGGAACTTCGCATCCTGTACCGGCGAGTTTCGAATCAACACCTTCCAAGCTGCAAGTTATAGCAGAAAATTAGGTCAGCACCATTGTATACACCCAGCAGCTTCCCGTTAATACGATGTGCTGTCTATTTTTTACTATATCAATTTAACAAATTCCTTGTGAAAATTTTATGTATGCACACTTGGCAGGTGTGTGCCTGCGCTTTTGAATGGAAACAGAGATATCTCATGCCAATATCTGGAGGGGGGGGGGGGGTGGCTTTTATACGTACAATGCCCTCATGTACATTATGTTTTAATGGTGCTTTCA